ACTGCAGGACCATTGGAAAACCAGATGGGAGTACTGGGTATCGGTTTGGTATTGGTTTGGAACACTTTATCAGCACGCAGCCGCTGAGGTTCGAACTCCGGTTCCTCTGGTTTCAAGACGAGCTCCCAGACTATTGCCTGGGTTCTAGTGTGGAGTGGTGACCACTGGCATTCAGCAGGTCGGGTGTGGGGACAAATCGTTGCCAGCGGTGACATTCGCTAGTGGTCGCCCCATTTCATGAATAGGCAGAAGTTGGAATTCATGGGCTGGCCACTGGATCGGGTCCCAGTGGTTTATTGGTCTACAAGCTCGCTAGCCATGTTACCAGAATGTTCTGGGTTCGAACCCTCGGGGTAGGTGCATACTGATGAAGAGTCTGAAATTTGGATGAAACAGCTGGCTTTGAGGTACTCTCTGCAGGTTTTCCAATGGTTCTCTAACCAATGTCTGCTCATGATGAAATCCTGAAAGAAATATAGGTAGCTGAAGAAAGCGTTTAGTAATTTAAGGCAGGATTTGGTTTTGAAGATGTCTTTCGTAAGCAAGTGAGGTAGGTTAACCTCGTCAAAGACACAGAAGAACGTCCACCTTTCAGTACCCTTTAATAGAGGCAGAGAACTCTACAAACCATGAGGAGAGTATAGTTTCCTATTTGGTTACCCGTCTTGTCTCCTCTATTCCTTAATCAATAACTGCCTCTCACTGACTGTAGCATTTATCGTATGTTCTGTGTTTTAGAGACCCTAAAGTAGTTATAACAACAGCACACCGTGCGTCACTCGTAAATGTAATCAAACTGTTAGTTACAGAACATATGAATGACTAGTTTATCAACAATAATATACAAAACTTTAGCGAAATAAAAGTCTATCTTTTCAAGAGCATTCGTTATATTTGCGAAACAAAATGATTTTAAGCAGTTTCTGTACCAGAGAATCAATGGCAATTGTGTTACTTTAAAGCCTGAATTCTTCAGACAAAAGAAATTTATTCAATGTGATTAGACTTGTATTGGGCGTAGTCATCAAAAGAATTTCACCTTTGAAGTGAAATAAGACGGGTAATTAGTTGAATAATTTGTTAAATAACAACTTGAATTCCTGTTCACCTTAAAACAAACTTCCATTAGTAGATACATCGTGAGATACGACTGATTGTTATAGGTTAATACGTTTGAATTCGGGGCATTATTTTCATATCAGGACAGATATCAAGTTGATATGTAATCATGTCAGATTCCAGTGACATACAGTGTTATTATCAATATCTCTGTTTATTATTTGGTTGTAATGTAATACATTGTAAGCAGTCCTACTCAGAAGTCAAGTGTTCGCTTGTACGCCTCAAAGGCGTTACGATATTAGCTACAGTAACCTTCAGTAGGGCTTCGGAAAACTTTTCAGCACTTCATTTCAAATGTTTGGTTTCAAAAGCACTACATACACTCACTCACTAGTTTGACTCACTTATGTAACTGACCTTACAGTCAGCATTACATGGTATTTGGTAAATTATATTATTATTTTTCTTAATTGGATCTATTAGGTGAGTTCTTAAGCCGACATAGTTTATCATAGGTCAAATTATTAGATCGGAGACAACTAGATTATTGGAACATAAAAATCTGGCTAGACCTAGAATAATTGACCCTGGTAAGTTAAATAACCTAGAAAAGACACAGCTCAGTCAGCTATTGCACTGCATTCACTGGCATGCTATCACACAAGAGGTTGCGACAGAATGAGAGTATTAAAAAATTAATATGGTTAGGTGGAGAGAGAGAGGTTAATCACTGAAGCTTTGTTTATCGAATCAACACCGCACATGTGTAGACGGAATGACTCAACGACTCTACCGGACATATGGAAAGTGGCAACAAACAACAAAAGTGAATTCTGTATTTGGTAAATTATATTATTTTTCTTAATTGGATCTATTGGATGAGTCCTTAAGCCGACAAAGTTTATTTCTGATTGAGTTTGTCGGTTGATTTAAATGCCACCCTAATTCCAGCCTCACTGAGAATCCCACGTAAGACCTCTGACGTCACTTATTTATACGGCAGTACCACAGAGGCTTTGAATTCTATATTATTTTCGTCGCTTTTATTGCCATTCTTAGTTTTTCTATGGTTCTTCATATATTTCTGGGTAAAGCAGAGCCATATATGAGGAGCTAAATGAAGTGTAAATATTTCTTTCAGTATTTTTGTCTCCTAAAAGTTGTTTGATGTCTACTAAATAAGCTAAAAGTTAGTCAGTTCCTTCAGTTATTAAGTTCTTTGTTATTTTGTTTGTTTGAACTCAATTATCTGGGATAGACACTTTGTGTACCAGGGTAAGAGTCACACGCCAAGCAAAATACTAAGTCGTGTCATCCTGGATGCACTAGACGTGTTCCAGGGTTCGACCTCCTACCGATATACTCATTAACCTCACCTAACCGACATTAAGCCCGGTAAAAAGAGGCGGTTGGATAACCCACCCGGTAAACAAACAACACCAACGCTACGCTGGAACTTCACAGCTTAAAGTTCAAAACCGTCCGTATATTCCACTGGAGGTTTAATTATGCGTCAGCTGGGAACTGAAATACGTATCACAAACTCACTGAGAGATCTTCTAAAGAAGAAATTGATTGACAACAATACGTACAATGATTTTAAACCCCGTAGGTCCCGCTTGCCACACATGTATGGCCTTCCGAAGATACAGAAAAACAAATTCCCCTGAGACCTATACTTTCCTTTGATGATCAGCTCGCCCCAACATAAGGTGGCACGTTGGCTAGCAGAGAAGTTGGAACCTATTCGTCAACGACTAGGCGTGCACACTATGAAGGACTCATTTCATTTCTCGGAAAGTGTGAACCACATGAACGTTTTAAATAAGTTCATGGTGTCATTTGATGTAAACTCCTTGTTCACAATGATTCCAATCAACGAAACTATTGAGATCATTTGTCAGCAGTCTGATCTTCTGCCACTGCCAGAGTCGGAATTCAAACGCCTACTGCTTATGTGTACCATGGATGTGCAATTCCAATTTGACAACACTCTTTACCGCCAAATAGATGGTGTAGCTATGGGCAGTCCACTTAGCCATGTTTTAGCAGATATATTCATGTCCAACCTTGAAAGAACAAAGTTGAAGCATGCAATCGACGAAACAACTTCCTACTGTCGATATGTTGATGACACATTTATAGTATGCAACAATGAAAGTCATGCTTCACACTTACTCAGATTATTCAATGATGCACACATCAATATTGAGTTTACTATGGAACATGAAAGTGACGGTAAGTTTCACTTGCTCGACATTGCCATGGAACGCCTAGAAGACGGTAGTCTTCAGAAGCCAATTTATCGAAAGCCCACATGGAAAGGATAATACTTACATTTTAATAGCTTTTGTTTGAATAGCTTTAAGCGCGGACTTGTGAAGACTCTGTACTATAGAGCGAGAAGAATATGCTCTACAGAGAAACTAGAGGAAGAATTTGAGTTTCTTGAAAAGATATTGAAGAGCAATGGGTACCCTCAAAAGTTCATCAACAAGTATGGAAGATCTGAAGTCACAAATGTAAAACAAATCACAGTAGGTAAAAGGCCAGTCTACATTCAGCTTGATTATAAGGGTGAAAACACTGCAGTAATGATCGACAGAAGGCTGAGTACACCCCTAGCCAGAGCCTATCCTGCAGCTAAGCTAGTCCCCGTCTATCGAACAACTTGCCCCTTGTTGTAATCAAAAATCGACAGATATCCTTCTCATGCTAACTCTAACTGTATATACAAATTTACATGTATCAGGGGAGCAGTTACATTGGAAGAACAGAAAGAAAGGCACATCTATGATTTTTGAACATGTACCAAAAAGCTTACGTCTAAAGGGAACAAATGCTTTAAACAGTGCCATCGCCAGGCATCTCCTCGACACGGGTCATGAGGTGGACGTCGAAAATTCGTTCAAAATTATCAATAGGCAAAAGAGCTCAATTCTCCTCAAGTTTCTTGAAGCCATTTCCATCAAGCGCCTGAAACCTGATTTATGCATCCAGAAAGAAGCGGTTATCAGTCTTTCTTTGCCCTGCCTGCTAACCGGATATTTTTCATCTCTCTTTCATTTGAATGCGAAATGCTGAAGAGTTTTCACTGTGTGTGATTATTATTGTTTGGAATAGTGTTTAATATTGCATATATTATATCTGTATATATTATTAGTGTATGCGTATATTGATCGATTGACTTTTGTTTAAAATGAACTCTGTGTGAGCATGTTAAAATTGTTTTTGTAGATACATTTAATAATGTCTTTGACCTGTAAGCAACTGACGAGAAGGCAACGAAATAACGAAAGATGGTTCCATTTTATTCTGCTAAAACTGTAGTTCTTGCTTTATTCAAATTCAGAATATTTGCGTTGAACCTTACATCTACAAGACTAGAATCTTACAAACATCCGTCCACTCATATCAATCTACCTGTTATCGATAACACAGATTATTAACAGATCCCAATGGCATCTATTTGAATGATTAGTAGAATTAAAATAACTAAAAACCTAATATTTTCTTTTAATTTTCAAGTATTGCTTTGTAAGGAATTTACTTGATTGGTTGGAGGATTTCATCATGAGCTAAGATTGGTTAGAGAACCATTGGAAAATCAGCGACACAGAGTACTGGAGAGCCAGCTATTTCGTCAGCCTAGTTTGGGACTCTTCATCAGTAAGCACCCACCGCCAGGGTTCAAAACCAGGACCTGCTCGTTACAAGACTAGAGAGCTCATAGAACATTCTGCTACTGGGTCCCACCCCAACTAATGGCCAGTCCATTGATTCCAAATTATGCCAGTTCATGACACAGCGCGACCACTTCACAATGTCTTTGATGAGTAACTGTCCTCAACTTCGACTCGCTGTACCCTACTGGTAACGGCTTCCCATTAGTATCCCAGGTAACTACCTGAATAGGGGGAGGAAAAAGACACTAGATATGTTGTTTAAATAAAACAATATTATTGAACATCATTATTACGAACAAATTAAAGGGACAATAGAGTTTCACAGGCTGATATCTAACACACTAAGGTACAAACAAAATGTGTGGAATAGAAAGATAATTAATAGAAAGAGTAATAATCACAGGTATATTTTGTTAAGCCTAAAAGAACATCCGTCCTTCCTTCCTTTCATTCATTCATTCACCAGAAAAAGTAAATGTAGGTAGTACAATGTAGCTGTGCACATTCGAGACCCTTTAACTTTGTATGAACAGTTGTTATGAATGAAAAAAAGGGTTAAACGACAGAGAAAAAAAACTGTCTATCTATCACTTGTAAATGAGGCAAATTGAATTCATTGAATCCCTGAGATTGTGATTTATTTTTGTCACCACAGTTACTTGTGTAGTATATATAACACAAAACACACCAATGAATGTTATGAATATTTTCTAAGCAGATACTTTGAATAAATCATTGACAAAATGAAAAGACTCGGCGCCTTAATCAAAATTTTGATTCGGCTTATCACACATGGGTTCATTCTAGAACTGGAAGAGGTATTATGACGTTTAGAAAACGGATAAAATGGGATGATGATAATAATAAGAAGAAAGAAGATGTGGAGTGTAGAAAAGTGGTGCAAATGTTAAAAACAAGGAGAGGTTGGTGAAAGCTTTAAATGTTGCTGTGATTGTTTCTCACCAAGGAGACTGTTTTAAAATTTTACAAATACTAAGACGAGAAGGCGGAAATATAATTTTTTTTTCTTTTTCTTCATTGGATTATATGCTGTTTAAAGAACTGAAAGTCGAAAATGAAGAAGGTGACTCATACAGCTCAGAGGTGATATTAACAACTGGAATAGTTCAATATCCAATGTTCAACTAAGAAAAAGGTTGTTTTACTTCTATTTTCTGTAGATTAAAAGAAATGTAGCATAGTTTAAACTTCAAATGCGCGTAGATCTACCTCTGAATTTCAATCTTTAGCATTGAACACCTCTTCATTTTCAACTAAAAATAATTCATGAAAATACCATGGTAACTGATTTGTACTGTCATTGTGTTCAGGTGTATTCGTGAAGAAATCTTGTGCACACATTGTTACTGAGCGTAGTTCAGTCAGTGTCATTATAATACGTGGCCAACATTGTGAACTAGGGATTGAATAATTACCGGATTGTTTAATTTGTCCGCGGGAACGATTGACATAACGATTAAATGTTTCCAATAGGGTGCTTTGATTATTCTCGATTATGTCTGTATTTAGAAGGTCACTTCGATCTGTTGATATACAGACAAGAATAGTAAAATCTTATTATTTTACACAAAATGAGTAATGTTCAAAAGTAATGAAAAATGATGATCACCTTCAGATGACATAATAAATTCGAAATCATATTGACTAGATACTGGGTAGTAACTAGTGTCATGAGTTTGGTCCTTCGTTTTGTACAGAGTGAATTTTAACTCTATTATAGATAAGATTTTATTTTGATAAATCACACAGTGTTATCAGTTAATATTACTGAATAACACTGTGTGATTTATCAAAATAAAATCTTATCTATAATGGAGTTATACTCTACCGCCATAGTGCCCAAGTTTTATACTTAAATCTCTCTCTCCACCTACCTATATATTACATTTCAGAATTTTGACTGTGTCCCACCCACCCTATTATGTGATTGTGTGTTAATGCATGCAGCGCGACTGCTCAGTTTTTCTCTAAATTACTTATCTTCGTGGGATCAATCATTCTAACCTTAGCTAAACTTTTATGTTCTGATAATCTCACTACTCCTACCTGATCTTCTAGTTTGACAGACCTATGTAGTTGACCTCACAGTCATTGCAAGGTATTTTGTAAATTATATTATTTTGTGTAATTGGGTCAACCGACAGGGTCCTTTAACCTACAGAGCTTGTCCCTGAGTGAGTTTGTAGGTTTAAATGCCACCCTAATTCCTGCTTTATTTAGAATCCTACGTAGGGTCTCAGATGTCCCCTCTTTATATGGTATAACAGTAAATGCCTTATACTCTCTCTTAATTATGTTATCATTATTAGTTCCACCATTCTTTTTATTTCGCTTCCGACCTTTTCTGATCTTCCTAATGAATTTTATAGGATAGTTATTTAACACCAATGACTCTTGTATCTGTTTCATTTCATCGTTTAGGTCGTTTTTGTGCTACTTAGTGCTATTGTTATTATTATTATGTGATGAAAATAGTGTTAGGCATGAACTAATCAACCTTCTTTGCACCACTAAATAATCCATTTCCTCCAACCTTAAAGCATCAAACTTTATTGTTATTGTACTTCTTATATTTATAGTCCTCTCAATTTTTTGTTTTGTTTATTTATTTAATTTTTCATAAGTAGGGACATAATTTAAGCTGTATTATAACTGTTAATTTTGTATTTCCCCTCACTATACTATATCAAAAGAACATTAGACCGATTGCCTCCAACCATCTAATATCATCACAAACTATGTACACCGTGATGGCGAGCTACCTAGAATGGTGGCCACATTACAACCTGACTGACAGAATTCAGTCTGCACCAAAGAGAGGACTAGACGCATCATACTAGTTACTAGTGTCAAATCAAAATCTATAACATGCTAAAGTTTCGAAACTGAATCAACAATACCGTTTGAAACATATTCACTTTTATTTTTATTATTATTATTATTATTATATTTAATGATCTCATTTCGTGCTTCGAATATTTTTGACTTCATATCGTAAATGTGGACAAATTCCTCAGGTTAACTTATTTTTAATTTTTACTTTTATTTATATTTTGAGTAAATCAGATGCAATATTGTGACAAATGCTGAGAATTCCGTTCTGTATTATAGGTACTTTTTTGCACTAAGGTAGATTATTATTATTATTGTTATTATTACTATTATCTCTTAGATCTATTCAACTGCCATGCTTTTTCATGTTAGTATTCTCTCTCCTGTATATTCCTGCTTATTGTAATTCTTTTGAATCTGTTTTTTCTCTGTTTTTGTATGCTGTGTGGAGTAAGACAACATTAACTGCCGGACTTCTGTACGAATTTCTATGTAGAAATTCAATTAGTCAGTTAGATGAATCGCGTTGGCTCAAACACTGACCCATATTCCATGTTACTGAATATTTATAAGTAATATATGCCTAAAAGTTTGAAGTTACTAAATCTTTCTACATTACAAAGCCTTACTCAAACAATGCTTAGCCTACAAATGAAACGCTTGTAAAAGCTTAAATTCTATTCATCAGTTCAATGTTGACATATGTGGGTATCAAAAGTTATTGATCGGATCATATTGTTAAAAGGGTTTATTAGCCTGTCGTATATAGACATAAAATCATGATGAATGGAAAGCTCAATGCAATGACAACTGTTCAACTGTCCTTAAATTGACCTCAATTTCATTTTGGATAATATTCAAAGTTCACCAGTTGAATTATTTTAACCCTCATATATGCAACATACATACACACATTAAACACACACACATAAACTGATTCGCACTAACCTGGGGACATCAGTAGGATAGCCGCCATCATTGCAACATCCGTTTGATCAATATTCAACTTAGCCATTTTTATGGCTATACCACGAATCAATTGAGCACACTTTTCATCCGATGTACCAAGTTTTGGATAATTAGTATTTGGTATATGTGGGGGTGTAAGGGTATTGTAATTGTTTTGATGATATGAATCTTTGTTGTTGTTGTTGTTGACCTGATTATTTGTGCTGACTTGTGATGATGGTGTTGAGGCTTGTGTTGACAAAGGATTTTCAGTTAAGCCTTGAGTTTTAACTGATCTACTCATACAGTAAGCAGCTCTTAGTGTGATTAGATCAAGGCAACATCCACACAATAGACGAATTTGATCATCTGCTTCGAGCTATATGCGTATATACGAAATAGAACAAATTTAATGATCAATAAAAATTCCTTATAACTACAAAATACTACTGAAAAGTTTGTTGGTAGTATGAAAATTTGTCGTCATTTTACTCGCAAGAAGTGATTTTCAGTTTTACCAGTGTTAGCCACACACTAAGTGGTACTCAGTAATCATTCAGGTTGAGGCGGGTTAGTGTGGGTTTGGGGAAATTCTGCCCCTGAGCCTGTTAAGACAATAAGTCACACATACCTATTGATGGTTAACGAAGGATAGAGTGAATGAGACAGTTCTTGCCCTTCTCTTTGAGATATTTTATATCAGTTGGTTAGCAGGTGCATATTTTAGGGATATTATACATTTCTACTTCTTTAAAGGCTGGAATTCACCAATTTATATCATCTCTGACGTAGATGTGACATCTATCTGTCCATTAAATGGGTGCGTGTACCGCACAACAGTGGACAAGAAGATGTGAAAAGACTGGCTGTCTCTGACTACAGATGTTTCCTTCAACATCAAGAAGTTAAAATATTCTGGTATAACCCAACCCTTACTCCTACAATTCGTTAACTCTCGCATTCTGCCTATTATTCTCTATTGTTCCCCCTTAGTTTTTCCCGGGCTACTGAAGAAAGACTATACCTTATTACGCAGGATGTTAAAGGTTGTCAGCAGGGTAAGCAACGTGCCACTTAACCAGCTTGTTAATATTCTGGTTGACAAGCCCATGGACTCATGTGAAAAATGGGCCAAATCCATTCTATCTTACTCACACCACCCTCTTCATTCACATCTCTACCCTTGTATCTCATCAGGCAAAACCAGAAGCCTATATAGAAAACTATATGCTCGCACCAGCAAGTAAAAAACTCAACCATACCCTACTTGGCTCGTGTTCTGTGAGATAAAGAAAGCATTAGGCGTGATACCTATAACTTAATAAATAGTCAGTAGAACAACTGGACCTCGTCCTTCCAACTCATATAATTTATAGGTACAACATTTTCTTTCTTTCTTTTCCTTTTCTCTCTCTCTTTTTTTTCCGTTATGTGCTGCTTTGTTTCTTTCTCTCTCTTACGCCAGTAAATATGACAGCACCTACTTTTCTAACACCTTCAAACACTGTTCAACTTTGGCTTTGCTACCGACATGCCAATATGTTGTTGTCATAATGAACTGAGATTTCCTTAATCTATGTAGAATTCTATTTATTGATAATGTACTAACTGGATGCAATACTGTAGTAAAAAAATGCTGAGAATTCCATTCTGTATCACAAGTATTGTTTTGGAATAAAGCAAATTATTATTCTGTCTCACTTGTTAAATGGTATAATTCGGTGTGTAATATTGAGATTAGGCGTTGAATGTTAAATAAGGAAGGTAAATCAATCGAGGAGGTATTGAAGCTACATTGACTCAGATGGTTAGGACACTTTTTGTACATATCCAGCTATCGCATTCCCAAACAACCAATGATAGCTGATATAGGATACGGTTAGAAAATAGTTAAAAGTAGTCAAAACCAAACCTAATATCGATCTATAAATTCTTCAGGTATTAGTTTGAACAGCGTAGGGAAGTGAATACTGCACGGCTCGGTGTCCTTGGGATGCTAAGTGATATTCCTTAGAATCGTTTCCAGTTACGCGGATTCACTCCCTTTCTATAGTCTCCAATATCCACTAAACCCTAGTTTCTCTAAGTGACAATTCTTTCTTCCTCAGATTTCTGCTCGTTATAGTTCCTTTTAACCTCTTTTCTCCTATTGTTTGTGTACTACTTGGAGTGTGATAACTTGAACTACCTTAATTTTGTAGTATAAAGTTCCACGTTGAATTTCACTCACACAGTTAGTTTTAAAGGTCTTTGCATTAATCATTTCGAGAAGTGATTCACCTAATACTGGTAATCAGAATTCTACAGAATTACTTTTCGGTGTCTTTTTTAAGTTACTGATAATTCTAGTTGCAGTAGCCAAACGGGTTGATCGCTGACGGAATCTCAGCAGGGATGCAAAAGTCTCGTATGGTATTCGCCAACCTGCATCATCTCTTGTGTAGATATGATATCCGACTATCAAATAAAGTAAGTGTCTAGTGCTTAGCAGTTCACTCCATCCTCCTTTATGACTCTGATATATAATCTTTGAAAGTGGGAGACATGAAAAGGCTAGCTTTGTTCATAGGCGTCTGTGTTCTATCTCCCATGTGATGTGGTGGCATAATAATGTGACCAATTTTGTGGTTAAGAGTCGAGTGCTAGATAGGTGGTAGGAGAAATTAATCTTTGAGCTTATGAAGTTATACATATTGAGATGATTAGAACATGTGTACCACATGCATCCCTAGCCATGGCCTTCCTCCACGACAGGAAATGTTGACTGAAATAGGGTCAGGTTGGAAAAGAGCTAGTGGTGGTGGTCAAACCAAAACATGGCTTCATCAGTCAATGAAATCCACAACAGTTAATTTAAGCCATCCAACAAGCCAGCCGATCACTTAGGAAGGTCTAGACTGTGTGGCTGGCTGGCTGGGATCGCCGGGATAGAAAGAACCAATGACGGCTGGAGACAATTATCGGTGATATTGTCTGAAATCGTTCTCAGTCAGTGATTTGTCGTATCCAATATAACTCTTTTGTCCTCCCGTATTAATATTCTTTTTGCCTCCTTTTTGAATTTCTCTTTACTCTCTTCTCTTGCTTTGTGTACTACATGAAGGGAGAGTGGCAATTCAAAGTGCTTCGCATCTGTTCCAGGGTCTATGTTAAAAACCAGTCAGCCAGTTAATCAGATAATTCTAGCCAGTGGTATATATCGTAAAGAAGTATTCTCACGTTTTTGATTGTATTAATAACAACCGACATAATGTACTTTCAATAGAATATTCTATTCAGATTAGTGAGGTTCTGCAATAGGCTTATTGGATAGTTTCCATAAACTTTTGGAATTATGTATTTCATAGTGGCTAAAAATATATCGGCTTCAAATCTTTACTCAGATTTCCTTCAGAAACTAGTTAATAACAAGTGAACAAGTGGTTTGTACATACATGATTTGATATTGTAACGACAGAAGACAAGGGCCAGGCAACGGATCGTTGATTGAGGAAATCAACAGATATTTATAGATGTTTATGTACATTATTATTCGCGTTAGGTGGTATTCTCGCGTTAGGTGGTATAATAAGGTAAGTAATGTGGACGTTAGGCGTAGAGTGTTGGGCAAAGAGGGAAAATCAACAGAAGACGCTATGAAGTTACATAGATTGAGATGGTTAGGCCACGTGCTGTGCATGCCTAACCATCGTCTCCCCCGACGGACGGGCATTACTAGCTGATATAGGTGCAGGTTGGAAAAGAGTAAGTGGTGGCCAAACAAAAACATGGCCTCATCAATCCATGAAATCCCTGACAGTTAAACTGAGTCAGGTAGGGAGATGCAGACTTGGGTTGGGGCCCACCCTCGGGGCTCTAAGAATCAATGGCTGGAGACAATAGGTGACATGGCTCAAAATCGTTGTCTGTGGCGCAGATGTATTCAGTCTCTTTAACCTTTATATTCCTTTCTACCATTACTCATTCTGTTTCACTCTTATACTTATCTAAATTCTATTGATTCTCTTCACTCACTGATTTTCTTGTCTACCTTTGTGTGGTATTTGGAACGTGGCTACTCGAACTGCTGCACTTCTGTGCCAAGTTCTATGTTGAATCCAGCAGCAGCAGCAACATTATTATTAGCATTATTATTAACAGAGAAACAACCTCTTCTGATTGGTTATCTTCCTAGTGAAGGTTATTCTGTCACCGCTTTGTTGCCGTTTCTAAGACAGTCCGGTGATATATCTGCGAGTCGTATCCGCCTACGCTAAGTCTGCTGTTACTGGTTGTTGAGTAAGTTTTTGTTCTTGTTTTTCTCATGATTTGGGACGTAAACACTGACGTAAATTGCTGTCTACCAATTTTGGCTAACAGACAACTGTCACCACACTCGTCCCCACGACTTATTGGTATTAGATGGTTGGAGGCAATCGGCAGGAAGCCTTTCCTGACCTAGGTTTCGTGCTAGTTGGCACTCACCAGTCAGCAAGGCGTATCTGCAACCTTGAAGGAACTGATGTCCCCCTTCTGAGATTCGAACCCGCGTCACACTGCAAGCATGACTGATAGAATTCAGTCTGCACCGAGGATAGGACGAGACACATTACACTAGTTACTGACTAGTGTTCAATCAAAAATACCCCACGACTTAGTTCAGGTGGCTTCATTCGTTTGTCTTGCTGTCTGAAAATTCCTGCGCTCGCTGACATTCACCTGTTTCTCTTTTTGTTTGCATTTGCGATAGTATTTACGTGACCCCGTCTCACAGTGACCATATGTGATTGAAGAAGCCAGCTAGAAATCGGGTAGTTCAGACGGATTTGGCTCTCTGAACTAAATCAAACGGTGCACACTACTGATGAGCTTCGCTTTAAACACACGAAATGGCTGCCTACTGTTTAAATCACCTCGATCTAGCTGTCAAGCAAAAACACTAATGGTTGATATCAGTGGTATATATGGCTACTTATCTTAATCAGTAAAGCGAAAATATTCATTCAGACATCTATAAAACACAAAATAATTGAGCAAAGAATATCCTTTTCGATAATTTCCTCTTCTGGCTCTACACTTATAAATATATATACATATATATATGTATATAGAATTCAGTTCCTCGGAGATAACATCAGCGAGATACTAACACAACGCAATAAATTTTACCATTGAGAAAGAAAAAGACTCTAGTTTTTCATTTCTAGTCGTCCTTATGACCAGAAAAGAGAATGGCACAATAAGAAAAAGAGTATACAGAAAACCTACATCAACGGGTCAGTATACTCATTTTCTCAGCTTCGTGCCCTTGCTCGGATGAATGTCTTGATGAGAAACTTAATAGTACTAAAAGGTTACTGAGTGAAAATGGTTATCCAAAGAAGTTCATTGGTGAGAATA